TATGATCCTCTGTCTAGAGAGAGAGGACAGGAGAAGCTAAGTATTTTGCTCAAGGTCACACCACTAGTAAGTGTAAGATCTGAAGCTCAGCAGACTATCTCCAGAGCCAGCATTCTTATGTTCAGCGCTAAATGGCTTACTCTTTATTGTTTTAAAAGAAAAATTACAATGATTCACATTTAATTGAAGAATAGATTCCTTCTGAAGTTAATGTTGAAAGCCCATTCCAGTACATTGTCTGGCCTTTTCACTGTTCAAAGTTTCTTTGGTGCTTATTTGAAACAGATGCAAACACTTAAAATATCCGTTCATATTGTGTTTCCCTGTGATTTGCTGGAGTATGTCAGGTTGCCTCCAGATCCATTTCTAAGTGACTGTCTGATTTTATTCCTCTTGCTACTTCTTTACAAACCTGCAGCTTCATGGGTCTGTTAAAGCATGGTTGATCAGAGTTTTATTGCATCTCTTACCAACCTTCTGTCTCTGCCTGTCATAGAAAGCTTTAGGGAAGCCATGAGAAGAAACTGGGTGGGGTTTTCAAAGCACAATTTCTTCAACCAAGCCTGTTGGCAAGATACGATGACGGGCTAATGATAGTGCAAAGTTTATTCTCACGTACTTTCAACTGTAGAAACTATTGTGAGTTACTTAAAAGCCTTTGCCTTTCAGTAGGTTATTTTACTTCTAAATTATTGTTCTTCAGTAAGGTTTAGATTAATTTGACTTTCTCTTTTCACAAATTTTGCCTTTTAACTCTTTATTTTTATTGATCGTTTAACTGTTATGTTTCATAACTTTGCATGCAATGTAACAGGGACGGGGAAATGTCTCTATGAGCCCTCAGTGTTGGGGGCAGTTCTGTGTCTCTTCTTCCTATGGATAGATAAATGACAGTATCATTTTAATATGCTTTATTTCTCTCTATGGTAGCAGGAATGATTTGATAGGAGTGTTTTGGTTAGTGTTTCTGGTTGATAAAAATAAGATATATCATAGATTTTAGGGAATCGAAAAATAATGAGTATGTACTGTGTACCAATCCAAACATATCATTGTTGATGAATCAAAAGGTTCTTCATGGTCTTGTTTTTTTCGGGGGGAGGTTGTTTTGTTTTGTTTTTGCTTGTTTTTTTTGTCAAGGTTATCCTTTTGTTAAAATTTGGGAAATATTTGCGATAGTAACTAAAGAAGATATGTTTGAAATATGGTTAGGTTTACGAAATTATGTTTCTGAGTCAGTTGAGCTAAAAATGGGGAACATTCTCACGGTAAAGCCTCAGGCAGCTTCCATCCCAAAGCTACAAAACTAGACGAATTTGTTTTTTTTTTTTTTTTTTTGAGACGGAATCTGGCTCTGTCTCCCAGGCTGGAGGGCAGTGGCCGGATCTCAGCTCACTGCAAGCTCCGCCTCCCGGGTTCACGCCATTCTCCTGCCTCAGCCTCCCGAGTGGCTGAGACTACAGGCGCCCGCCACCTCGCCCGGCTAGTTTTTTCGTATTTTGTAGTAGAGACGAGGTTTCACCGTGTTAGCCAGGATGGTCTCGATCTCCTGACCTCGTGATCCACCCGTCTCGGCCTCCCAAAGTGCTGGGATTACAGGCTTGAGCCACCGCGCCCGGCCAAAACTAGACGAATTCTAATGAAAACCTCTTTTTAAATGAAATCCTTTTAATATTTGGCACTTGTGTCCCTTAAATTACCATTTAAGGGATGGTTACGTTTAAGGGAACTATGCTTTTATTCCATATTATTTTTATTTTTATTACTGTACTTGTACATTATCTCAATAATTCCTGTTTATGTACTCCTCCAGGAGTGAGACTTATTCTCTGTATCGTCCCTTCTGACCTGACTGGGATGACAAAACTCCAGCATCCCAACATGTTTTGTTAATGCTGGAGACACAAATTATGATATTTTACTTAACTTACGTGCTCTTGAAAGAATTTAAGGTGATGTTGCTTATTTATAGAGTTTAATTTTCTGTATTAAATATTGAAAACAGTGTCATGGCAGATTTGGAGTTATTGTGACAATCACTTTTTTATGTAGATGAGTGTCTGTCTGAGGGCTTTACTGGTGTTAGTCTGGTTTACTGTTATGGTATGGAATAGCATTTCATTTTTTAAGGATGCTTATGACCTTGTTAAATAGCAGTCCAAAAATCATGTGGCTTGTTTTGATTTTAACCAAAGTTACAGCTGCCTAGCTGTAAAGCAGTCAGTTTCTCTTATTATGACTAGTTCTTCAACTTGTACTGTTTTAAATTGCCTGCAATTAGCATATTTCAACCTTATTTTTAGGTTTAAATTGCAGTGTGAGAGAGTACTCTCCTCTTAGCTAATTAGTGCTATCAAGGAACAGTAGGTTACCTCATTAGTACCATGTGCATTTAATTAAAGAAGAGAAAATTGGAGTTAACCTCATAGTTAATATTTTCACAGAGTGCTACAATGCCAACACCTTCAATTGGAGTCACACCCCTGTGTATCTAATTATGCACTGGTGCCAAATAAGGTTAGCAAGGGTAGCACAAGGCTGTTGACAAAATAATTTAGATGAAAATGTATTTGTTGGATTCTGACAGCAAAATATAACTTGAACACTTTCCCCCCAGTCTTCATCTGCTAGCATCAGGTGACATACTTCATCCTAAGAAACAGAGGGAAAAGGATATTTTGGAAGCCATTTTTCCTGTTTGAATTAATGTTGCTCTTATCGTCAAGAAAATAGCATGTAGTCATGTAAAGCATATACAATCCATTTCTTAAACAGAACCTCTGAACTTCATAGATGTATTTGAAAAGAATTATTTATAAGATGTAATATTTACATGCATCAAACCACTACAAATACTCCCTGACACCCTTAACACATCCCTCCTTGCTTTTCTTCTTTTCTGGTATAGTTATAATTTCCCTTGTGTATCTTATGAATGGGGATCATCCTTTCATATCATACATGAAGTCTAAGGATGTGTTGTCACATGGTCTATTCAAATGCAGTGTAATCCTTTTGCCCTTCAGACAAAATCTTTGAAATGTCTAATGCTACTTAGGTAAAAAATGACATTCCATATCATTTATCAATAAATAATCACTTTGCTTTTACAGATAAAAATGCAAACTATACATTTGAGTATATAGAGTAGTTTTCAATGCAAATGCTACAATTCAACAGGTTTTAACAGATATTATCGAGGTTGATTGCACAGTCTTAGATACATTTTAGTGGCAATAATTTTTATATAATAATGCGTAACCACAGCAGTTTATTTAAAGAAATTATTGTGATTGTTCTCACATGACATGGTAGGACAGGATTTATGTTCATTTGTACTAGTTACAATTGATTACAAGTCAGAACTTTTTCAAAATTAGAGATGATTACATTTTAAGAACAAATGACATCCCATACACCAAAATTGCAGTGCCATTTAAATATATAGGAGTATTTATGATTCTTAGCTTACAACTGGGAAGTAAGGTTCCTACGGCAGTATCATGGTACATAATCAGTGGATTTTTTGGTTATGGGTTAATTTATTATGATCCAAATATTCAACTTCCCATCTGCCAAATTATTTGTTTTTAAAATCTGTACTAGTTAACTGTGAGACAATGATGGAATATTCTTCCCTATTTTGACCTACCAAGGTAATAATCCCAAAAAATGATTTTTAAAAATGACAATGTACGTTATTAGCATAAGCCTTAAGATTGAAAAACAAAGCCAACTCCTGATTCTCTTTGTTTAACCTAGGAATTGCTTCCAGAAACAAAATTATGTATCTGTGGCCACTCTTCTGGTGATGGGCATCCTCACAACACATTTGCAGTAAGTTACACTGGGCAATTAGAAATTCAGCTACTAAGCACAAGGCCATGGACCCAGTCCCACTGAATAGATTATATGTGATTTTCTATAGCCAATCCCTTCCATTGGTGCAGATAATCAAGATACGACTAATGTTAAGATACAGATGTAATTAGTTGATTTTTTCTTACTTCTTTTGTTCTCAATTATGTTTCACTAGATATACAGTTCACAGTTTCTGTGAGTTGAATACCTTAAATATATAAAGGCTTTAACACCACTATACTTTTCTTGAACTTTTAGGAATAATTTGATGAGAGAGTACTGATATGCAGAAAATAAGTGGACATAGATTATGGGTTGATTCAACACATATTTTAGAACAAAATTGCTGTTCCATGTTCCTCAAGTTGTCATATAAATATACCAAGGCCTTTTTAACAGAGTCTGCCACTAGAGTGTAACTTGTCACTTTGGACTGCAATATTTGGTGAAAATCGTTTATGTGGCCCAATTCACATACCAGTCATCCTTGGAAATGAAGAGTAATCCTCAAGTCTCCATTCAAGAATTTTTAAATAAAGCAACTTTATGTTTCTATTCGGCATAAATTCTACCTGCATTCTTAAGAAATCTTGAAATATTAGAAGTCATGTGTTTTCACATATAGTCAGCTCTTCACATTCATGGGTTCTGTATCTGTGGGTTCAACGAACCACAGATCCAGAATATATGGGGAAAAAATGGATGGTTGCATCTGTACTAAAAATGTTCATACATTTTTCTTCCTTATCATTATTCCCCAAAGAAAACAGTGTAACAACTATTTATACAGCATTTATTTTACATTAAGTATTATAAGCAAGCTAGAGATTATTTAAAGTATACAGGAGGATGTGCATAGGTTATATGTAAATAGTACAACATTTCATATAAGGGACTTGAGCAATTACGGATTTTGGTATCTATGTGTGTCCAATCCCCCACACATACCAAAGGACTACTCTACACAACTTTTGCTTGTTTGCTTAAGAACTGATGTATTTATTTAGGCTTAATGGGCTAGAGTATTTCTAAATTGACTCAGCCAAAATTTATTTACTTTTTACTACTCTATACGTAATATTTTCTAATTATAATTGACAAAAAACAACAAAATTAATACTCGTAAGCAGTCAATGTTTTCTTTAATGAAGAAGAAATATCTATTTCATACTTCGGTTAAAAAGAAAATGTTTTCAATAAAAATCATGTCAAATTAATGAGAGGATATTTATGGAAAATATGAAACTTTTAAAAATGTTAGTTGCAATACAAAAATAAACTCAAAAGTGGAAGCAGCAATGACATATCCTATTCTATAGAAATAGTGAATGTCAAAAAAAAAAAGGAAATAGTGAATGTCGAGGATGGGTAATACATGTTATATATGCAGGCTTCAGAGAGATCTGAACTTACCTGGTTTGTGGTCTCATTCACTGTAATTTGGTAATTCATAGTATTTAGTCCCCCTAAGCCTTTTTGTAACAACATTTGAAAGCAAAATAGCAAAAATTTAAAAATGGTGGTAAGTTTTGCTGATATGATGTAATTAAGTTTATGTGAAAGATTAAAATAATCTTAACTTCTAAATATTCTCTGTATATTTTAAAGGAAGATAAATTTTAGATAAACATCAAGTGCAATTATATACTTTAACTTAATAAAGAAAATTAACTTCAAAATTACTTTTTAAAATAGTGCATTAAAAATGGGACAGTTTTCCTAATTAGTAACACTTTTTCCTAAAATAATCCCAATGGAAAAATTGTTTTCATCAGACCAAAGAGTTAACTGACTTAACTGCTAATAGTGTTTGCTCTTTATCTAAAACTACTTCTACCATTTAAAATAAATATCTATTCTACTGATGAGAGAAAACAAATCTATAGCATCAAATCTTTATATTTTCACTGACATATTTTCAGAATGAAAATGAGATGTGGAGAAGTAAAATGATTCACCAGAGGCCATGTAATTTCTCAATGGTAAGGCTGAATTTCTATCCCAAGTTTGTGATGACCAGTGTATTGGTCTTTCCAAAAGTATCCCAAATTGTTCTTGACTGCCTTGAGTGCAGTGTTGAGTAGAAGTCTGAGGTTCTTCCATGTGTCTGAGACTGCGTCTCATCTCTCAGATCGAAAGAGCACCAGGATGAGTTAGTGAGGTCTGGTATGGCTGGTGGGGAAGGAGGAGCATAGTAGTGCATTTGTCATCAGATGTTTGCCATCTCCTTAGTGTGCCAATTTAATACTTCATATTGGCCATTGAGTGACTTTACAAATGGGGCTTTTTGGCTTCAGAACACAAGGGAAATATTATTTAAGTAATATTAACTGCTTATTTTCCTTTATTGATTACCTTATATATAATCTTCAGCATACTAAAATGGCTACATAATGTGATTTAAAATCAATATGCTAACCAGAACAAATACTATATTATCCATAGTTGACAATTGCTGTGTGATGGACATGGTTCTCTTTTAGTATTCATTGCATTTATAAGTACCAGTATGCCAGAGTGGTAGTATGGAATACCGTAAGAATACTGGTGGGCTAAAAAGAAGAAAGAGGTCAAAAGGATAGATGGGGCACCTAGAGCCTGCCATATTTTTTCATCACTATGTAACTGACATTTATAATGAATTGTGAATTATTACAATAGTTTTCAAATTTTAAGATACCCTATATAATGCCTATCAAGGTGTTAATTTAATGTCACACATATTATTTCCATGGTTGGTCAGCCTACACACACACACATACAAGCCAAAATTTTCAGGCACGTGTTCCAAATCGGTGGATTAAATTAATTTTTACTCTTCCCATCACACCCAATTCACTTAAAAAATAAAAATCGCTTAAGTTTATTAACAATCCTAAAGTAAAGTGCCAAAAATTGCAGGGAGAAAAAGTCACTTATATTACCAAATGAAGGTTAAAGCCCAAATTATCTCAAGGAAATAATATTACATATTTGATATTAAACAGGGGTCAAAAGCTCTTCACCATACCAATTATATATTTTTCAGATATAATTGTATCAATTTACTAGCAAAACGTGCAATACAAATATATTTTCATAGGGTTTTTTCTGGTGTCTTGGCTTGTTGATAACCATCAAACATTGGCCATCACCTGAGTATTGTACTTCCCTATTATCACATTGTTGAACAGTAGTGATATTTTAATGTACTCACTAATAAATTGTGTTTAATGTGCCTCTATCAATTCATTGCAATACTGGGCAGTAATTGTATGCACTTATCTTTATGTGAAAATTGTTATTCTAAATTTTGTCTACTTGTTGTATTTAAACAAATATTTGGGCTCCTTTGGTTTTATATTTACTATTCTAAGAGTAACAATATAATGTCCTTACTATAACTTTGAATTTAATAGATAAAAAAGCATTAATTTCTGACTTTAAAAAGCGAGGATATCAGAGTAAGAGAGCTTCATTGTTAGAGAATGCTTTTCATTGCTCGCTTTTCACATTCAGTTTTTTCAAATAGTGTCTAGTTTAATCTGGAAAAAAAAAAACTTCACTTATTTTACTTTTCTTTCAAACTCCAGTACTAGAATACATGCCTTTCTTTTTTTCCTGATGTATCAAACAGATTTACAAATTACTAACTCTGCCAAGATTCTAAATTTCACAATCTTTGGCTTCCTTACAAGATAGTAACCCAAGTTCATTCACTACTCTCTAACTATGCCCTGTTGGCACCTCATCTGCCTGAATGACCTCATTAACACCTATCTGCAAGTAATCTTATTGTTAGTCTTGCCTACAGGTTTTTACACCTAAGTGAATACTATTTTACATAGGATTCTGCCAGTTAGTTCTAACTGCAAAGGCAATTATGTGGAATGCTTAGGGTCTTTGTCTTTGGTTCTTATTTTTAAAACCTTTAGCATTGAGCCACATGAATCTTTTGATGAACAAAATTATCTTGTACCTATAATCTGAAAATGAAGCTTGCCTGGCCTTGGTATAACTGCTTTATTTTCCATTCAAACTAAATTACATTGGCCACATTTGACCTTTCTCCCTACAGGTCTTTACTATGATTATCTCCTGAATGGTTCATTTTTAATGGGGATGCTGGACTGGAAGAAATAAGAAGACAGGGATAGTGATGCTTTTTAAAATATCTTTTTATTTGTGTTCCAAATTCATCTCTCTCAAGGCTTTACATGAATCTTACACAGCACCAAATAATCCACACTGTGGGCTGTACAGTCAGCTTTCTGTTTTGATAATTGGGCCAGTTTCTTAACTTTGCTTTGCTTCACGTTCTCAGTCTGTAAAATTATAACAATAATACTACCTACCTCGTAAGGTGGTAATGGGAATTAAATATGATAACCCTAAAAAGTACTTACCATGATGACTAACACACAGTAAACATGCAATAGATGTTGAGTTAGTATCTGTAATAGCATCAATATACTCTTGCTTGAACCAAAGAGTCAATTCTGTTGGAAGTAAATGTAAGCGTATTTTTGGTATTAACACTAACATTGGGCATTGTACCTTGGGTCATGGCCAAGACAGATGACAGTGTTACCCACTGAGAGGAGTCTTTATATTAATCAATTTAAGTTGAACACTGACTTACTCACTCACACAAAAATAGTGTTATCCAAATGCTTTCTGATTTGTTAAGTGGAAGACAGCTAAGTGGAAGAGACAGAACTCTGCCTCACCAGACCTAAATGATTCCTGGCAGCCAAGAAGAATCATAGCTAAAATATGTAAGGAAAAGTGATTGTTCACCAGTAGTCTGTATCCAGCTAGAGCACATGAAGCTACAAAGTTAGGAAATGCATGCAGCAATGTTGAATTACCTCTATTTTTTTCTTCCTATATTATAAACATATTAGCAGAGAGTAAGCTGAAGTTAAAGATAAATTACTACTTATTAGTGTCGATAGTTTTAACTAACATGCTGAAAACAATGAACCAAGGATAATGTTGCAGTAATTTTCTTCACAGTACCCTTTTTATAAAAGCTGTTTACAGTATTTAACTCTTTGCATTTGTATAAAGATGTGTGGTATACACTTGAATTTATTGTTTTACTGTGTTTATTTTTGAGTAGTTTTTATTGATTATTATGATGGTATCCACACTATGGCCCTTCAGTAAGAAATAAACTTAAGATAATGAAATGTTTCAAACACGTTATAGATTATTTTGTTAATGCCATAAATATAGGGACCGTGTTTAGGGTTACTGTTGAAAATATTCCAGATACTGTATCCATCTAAAACAGAATAAAGGTTTTTGTTTTTAAAGCCTTGGCTGACATTTGTATGCAATTTCTTGATTAATCTTTTTCACCCTACTGTAATTCAAGATATTAGTAATTATCTTTACACACCCCTCTCAGCTGGAAGGTAAGCTCCCTGAGCTCAGTTTGTTCTAGAAACGTCTCCTGAGTGGTTGCCCCTCACCTTCTATTTCATTGTAATACTTGAGATTGCCAAGAATTCTCTTGGTGTTGGTTCCAAGAAGGACCAGTAGCAGAGATTTTTCAGTGGAGGATCCTCTTTGAAATTTATAATGAATAATTTACTCCCCTTGATGACTCACCAAAGCATTAGTGTGGCAGAAATTGGGGGCTGATGAAAGGATTATTTATTTAGTTACTGGTTTTGTTGTTGTTAATGTATTTTTCATCAAATAAATTGATACACACACTAGAATACATATGTGGCAATAATAGGCATTTATGGTGCTTATTAGGACAGACCGTATTTTTCTTTTCACATTTTAAAATTATTTGTAATAAGCTATTAGTGATAGACTCTACAAATTAGAAATGTAATTGGTATTAACTTCCAACAGTTTGCTCTACAGTTTTTGCATATTTCTAAGCATCACTTAAGAAAATGTGCATTCTGTATTATTTGTATTTCTGTTCCCTGTCTATTTCCACATCATCTTATTTTAGCATAACTGAAAGTTGTAGAAAATGCTGTGTCATTTTAGTGTACAAATTTTCAGAATTGTGCACATACACATACAAACATACATCCATGCATACACATATCTAAGCAATTAATAAAAGAGTGTGCATGTGTTTTTATTCAGTTCTATGTGTAGTTTATTTTTCTTTTTATTGAAGTTACATGTTTTAGGTTTGTAATTTTCATTAGGTGAATGAATTGTTTGTTAGGCATAGGATTAAAAAATTATGGAACCAAATGTTTATAACTGGCATAGTTTATGCAGTACTGTATTTACTTTAAAAAATATTTCTAAATAACTGGATTTTTAAATATAAATTTCAATACATAGGATGTCAGGTTAAGCAGCACAGGACTTCCATCGACATTAAAACTTAAACCTGAAAACAACAACAACAACAACAAAACTTAAACCTGGAACTACACGCTGTACTTTAACAATGGAGTTCAGAAAGCCTATAGCTGGAGTTTTGTTATGCTGTAATAACTTTATGCATCGGACAATATAGATGAAATTGCACTTGTTTACTTTCAAATAATCCTATTGTTTATCATAATGATAAATTTTATGCAAATAGACTCATACTCTTAATCAGATAAAGTCTTATACCAAGTTAGAGAACGCAAAATTGAACTTTTAAAATACTTAGCATTAAGAACAGTTTGTAATGCTCAGGCTCTCACAATCATTCTCCTTAGCTCCTTTCCATGAAGTCATGATTTCTTTTCCACCAGACTTCCTCCTGATCTCTCTTAAGAGAGATATTGTGAGATAGTTTACAATATTGTAAAAAATCATCTGCACTTCAGATCGACAGTACTAGTTACAACATTATACTTCAGACTACATATGTTATATATTTAATATTTTATGAATAATGCTTTAATAATTTTAATTTAGAATTTTATATGTAGAATATTTAGTCTGGCATACAACAGACAATATAGAATGAGGGTAAGAAACTTCATCGTAAGAGATTATAATAAAGGGGAGGCATCAAGCAAAC